TGTATGAACCGTGTAGCTACAAGGCGTCCTTGCACCCGAGTGATGTAGTAACTGGGATACCCTCAACAACTGCCACTCGAGGTTAATCCTTCGCCCCTGCTAAGTGAGGGATACGAAAGACCTCCTGCCATTCCCACACATGACTCTCCCTTCTACGTGAAGATGATCATCACGGAAATCAGATGGACCAAAAGCCATCATTAGCAACAATAGTCATACTTTACCAATTCAATCTTTCACATTAATTTATATGAGACTTTCATCCTGGAACGCCGTCAAAATCCAACATCATACAATTCAAGTGGCTCTAGTGTTCACCACTTTAACTTATCATATTCATCATCTTTCACATCATTAGGTTCAGGAGTAACAAAAATGCGACGTTCAGTCCAAGAAGGGGTGAGGACTCACGTCCAAATGAACTTAACTGGATATCAGTAAAACTATAGTAACGAAGTACTTTCTGTTTGACCAATTAAATGAACTACTCAATTTTGAAGTGTGTGACAGTACAAATTTTGGGATAAAACTTGCACAGGATTTTATGCACAATGGAGGATCAGAACACTTAGAATTATTTTTGGAAGGAGCGACTGCTATGAAAACCCTGCCCGGAATGGAGACGAACGTAAAAAGAATTGAATATTTAATACTGTTGGACGAACGCTGTTTTATATCAAATGAGTATTCAATTAGAACAACGATGGGTCTGAGACATTGCGCATTAGAACGACGCTCGTTATAGACCCGAGCGTACTTATGGACGAACGCTCGACATAAGGCGAACGCTATCAAAGACGATCGCTCGAATAAGGTCGAAAGCTATCAAATACGAACGTCTCGACATAAGGTCGAAACGACGCTATCAGTAGACGTCACGCCTACATAAGGTCGAACGCTATCAAAGCGACCGCTCGAGCACTAAAGTTCAACGCTATCAAAGAACAACGCTCGACATAGGGCCGAACGCTATACGAACGAACGTTCGACATAAAGGGCCGAACGTTCTCATTTCGGCATTGTTTAATTTAAGGCTACGACAACTCTAACGTTGAGCCGAACACTCAAACATAGTAGATTCATAAGGACGCTCGTTCTCACACCGAATTTCCATCAATTGAAGATTCAATCTAAGCCTTTGGCGATGAAACCGAACGGTATACGACCGTACGGTGAAGAGCGTTAATTATCATAGGGGACTTTCTCAGATACAGATTTTTCAACCTTAACAGGTTCAAGATTTTTTTTTTTTTCCAACTTATCTTAACTCAATATTTCTCATGTAATTCATACTTTGTAATTTTAAATCAACACTACATTCAGACCTCTTTTATACAATTCACTTAATAGTATCAAATATACTCATACATCACAACACAACATATCCATGCATCAGTTCAATCAAACGTTCTTCATACAATGCTAAAATCACATATTGATCATACATACATTCATATCATACGTTCATGATTCATCAAGATAAATTTAAATTTATAGCTCCCTTACTGGATAGCAGTGTACGCCCTAAATATGATTTCCCACACGTTCAATACTACAGTGTCTTACTAACGACACGCCCCTGAAGTTCCTTCTACGTCAATCTAACACTTGATCTAAACAACCACACAACCAGATTTATTCAATACAGTCATGCATAAACCGCTAGCATGGTTTCGCATGAAACCTAATGGCCAGACACAAGAGGGAACTGTACCAGTTGATTCCAGTTCTGTCTCGGTCCAAAGGCAAAGACCACCACTGGTGAATGTTTCCTACGGTGCTGGAAAACGGGTTGAGAGAGTAATGTAGATTAACAGTAGAAGAGAAAAGGGACTAAGGAAAGAGAGAAGTGGAGAAATTGAAGAGGAGAAGTCGGTTGGTTTCAGAGACGACGAATGAGTGCGTGGTGCAGGTGAGAGGGTTTTCTGAAAATCCAGTTTTGTGCAATTCACGTTCGTTGTTGAGCGAAACGTACCCCCAAGCGACACTGGCCCATAAATTCTGAAATGGGAAGCTTCTTCTGCAAACACGTGCGTGGTGCAGGGAGCGGCCATGTGCGTGGTCTTCAGAGATGATGGCGTGTTTAGTGAACTGTCAGAGAGTTTATCAGAATTAAAATGGTTTTAAAATGAGATAAAATGGATTTGAGGGGTTATTATGGTGAATGTGGACAGGTAATTACACCGAGAAATTTTCAGGGTCTCACAGATATCCGCTTGCATGAGCTTCCATGGATTTTGTTATGTAATTGTGTATTTAGTTTAGCCACGAAATGTAATTCAGTTTTCCAGTTGTATTTTATTTCTTTCTTTTCACTCATGTTCAATTGCTCTAAACTGTGCCAGATCAAATCAGCTGTAAGGTTGCCAATGAAGTTTGGAAGCCATAGAGGCTTTTGCTTTTGTAGAGTATGTTACTCAGCAGGAGGCACAAAATGCTCTCAAAGCACTTTCAAGCACCCATCTCTATGGGAGACATCTGGTAAGTCAAACAAAATCTTGCATTTGATAACTTTAGTGAATCCCCTTGTGTTCTTCCAAGTACTTTAGAACTAATAGCCACTATTTTCAGGTGATAGAGAGAGCGAAAGAAGGTGAGAGTTTGGAAGAACTGCGAGCACGAACAGCTTCTCAATTTAGTGACAACCACAATGGATTTCAAGCTATTAAATTATCCAAGAAAAGAAAGGACGTTGACATCTTAGATGAAGGGAAGATGAAGTTTGGAAGATTTGATGACTAAACAGTTTTTGTGCATATGTCCTGAAAATTATGGGATCACAATTTTGTCATAAGTTCTAAGATATCGCATACCATCTCAAGTGTTAAACAGCTTCTAACATTAGTTTTGTATTCTGTATCCATAATTCAATCTCCTATAAAATTTTGTTCTCTTATTTACACTAAACTGTATACCAATATATATAACGCTTCTTACATGCATTCAAAATAGCTACTAATAATTTATCCTCTCACCTTTGTTTTCTTTTTTTACTTTTTTATTTTTGTTAAACTCATATACCTATAGGGATATTAGTTTATGACCTACTAAAGTTAGAAATGTGGGAAGATTCTATTCTCAACACACTTAATGTAAATACTATGGCCTAATGACCATGACAACATTAATTTAAAAATAATAAAGTTACTATTAAGATCGTATTTACATATTTATTAAAGTTTAAATAAATATAAACACTGAAAATGTTTCAAAAATACCAAATTCATTATGAGTTTCTAAAGTCACTAAAAATTTATTTAACCCATTTCAAAACGTGCATACGCGCAATTCATTATATTCCTGAAAATATTATACAACATAATATAATTATTTTTTTCAATTAACAAGCACTATAATTTAGTATTCTGGATTATCATTATGGAGTATGTTATATTTTAGAATATTTTTTTTAAAGTTGGTTTTATTACGTCATTAAATACTCTTTTAAAATTTATAAATATAAAATTGATGTTAGAAGTAATCATTCAGTAAACATTTAAACCTAAATTGTTAAACATGGAACTGAAACATTTTCTGTAGGTGTCATGCAAACTGTATTGAACGAACCAGTGCAGAGATTTGAAATAAAGAACAACGCACGGACCCTTTTGACCTTGGCATTGACTTCGACCCTTAATCCCAAAACACACAATATATTTATAATTGTTTTGTTCTTCCTTTTCTCTTATCAGGTAACAGGTTGAATTTAGGTAATGAAATAAAGGAAAGATGATTGAAATTGAAGCTGTAAAGTAGAAGAAGAAGAAGGAAATACATATATATGAGGTATATTTGTGAACAGAAGAGAGAAATGGAGTGAATCAAACATTATGAGTATTTTCTGGCTTGACAGGAGAAGCGCCTGGGGGTGGAGCTGGCATTCCATAAACTTGTGGGTTGCTCTGCATCTCTCTCCTTCCTCTTGCTTTTCCAAAAAAGAAACATCCAAATCCAAGAAGGAAGCAGAAGATTATGAAAGGGAGAGAGATCACAACCACCATACCCATCTTCGATCTTCTTCTTCTTCTTCTTCTTCTTCTTCTTCTTCTTCTTCTTAATTACTTGCTTTTCTTTTCTGAATTCAGTGTGGATGAGTTGAGTAGGGAAAGAATAAGAGGGAGCATTTATTCATAGCAGGTGGGTCTGGTATCGGATTCTGCTCTGTTATGTGATGAAGGGATTAACGTTCAATTTTTCAACGGATACTTTTCTGCCCCCACAACACTAGCTGTCTCTCTTCAACTTCACTTTGTTTTTTCCGTTAACTTTAAGTTAGCTTTCACTCCAACTCGCATCTAAAACCTTTTATTATTACTACTACTACCATTATTATTTTTATTACTATTGTTTATTAGACATTTTTAATTATTTTTGTAAAGAAATTATTAAAGTTAAAACAAAAACAAATAGGTCATTCAGTGAAGATGCTATTGTATAGACTGGGTCGTCTTGTTTAATTTTCTTCGTTATTTTAAGAGTTTTAATATATATATATATATATATATA